CACAGTTTGAGATAAAATGAGAAGTGTTAATATCTTCTTCTACCTGTTCAATCTACTTCATCTTTTTAGAATTATTATTACTGTTAAATCGTTCTATCAAATGTTGTATCGTAAAAATTTATCATCAATGAATTCTAATGAAACCGTTTTTTTTTAATCTGAAAATTAGTTCCTTATCGAATACTTTTATAAATTTTATATTATGATCGTTTAATATATTTTTCATTGGTATTACTAAATTTTTTATTTGATTAATTTTTCATTTATCCTTTTAATTTTTATATTAATTTATTAATATGCGATAAATATGTGGTTCTATTGTTATCAATTATTTTGTAAGTTTTTATTATTATAATTCTTTTTTAATCTACTAGAAAGAATTTCGTGCGAATATATTCAATGAATTATTTAATACATTTTTAATAAGTACGATTTATGAGAAACATATTTTTTTTTTGTTTTTTTTTTTTTTTTTTTATAAATAAGTATCATTATTTTAATTATCAATCATTATCTATTATTTTACTAAGAAATCATCTATATTCAAATAATTACTTAATACATTTTCATTAGATATAATTTATATGTAATATTTTTTGTTTGTTTTTTTTTTTTTTTATAAATATACCTCCACCACCACCTTCACCATCACCAAGATAATTATCACTCAATTATATTTAATCTTAGAATTAATAAATATTAAATTATTCATTAATGAAATTCTTTACAAATTATAATTCATTTTTTCTATTTCTTTTTATAAATATACCTCCACAACCACCACCTTCACCATCACCAAGATAATTATCACTCAATTATATTTTATCTTTGTAATCATTAATATTAAATTATTCCAGGTATTAAATTCTTTCTAAATCATACTTTATTTTATTCTATTTCTGTAAATATATTATCACAATTCTTCATTGTAAAACATATAAATATAAATAAACTACAATTTATCAATCACCATCTCTTATTCTTTCTCTCTCTTTCTTTCCTATTAGCAATGACGAATATTTCAAACGTAAGAGAGGTAGACTCTTCTACGAATATATAAATTCACCTATTTGCATGTGTGTGCACGAACACAAGAGTTAACAAGAGGGAGAGATTAGAAGGGGAAGCGAGACCAAAGGAGATGGATATTTGCAATTCCAATCCTATCTTCGACCTCGTACTCCTCGTCGTTATTTCTCTATCACCTTCTCTCTCTCTCTCTCTCTCTCTCTCTCTCTTTCTAACTCTAAATCTAACTCTAACACTAACTCTAACTCTCGTTTCCGAGAAACTAAGCTGACGGATTCTCGCGTTACTTTAACATCCGCGGAATGTCCGATGAAGGACAAAAAATCACGAGTTTTTCACTATACATATATATATATACATATGTATATGTGTTTGTATGAGTATATATATATTTTGTAACCTGTAAAAAAAATTTCCCACAAATTTATTCATTTTGTTTGTTAAATATTTCAATTTAATATTTACATTTTATTTTAATTCAAAAAAAAAAAATAAATCACTACTTTTGTTATTAATAAAAATATTATTTTTTTAAATAATTATTTCGTACAAATTGTATTTATTCTAATTTCCAAATATTAAATACAAATATTGAATTAATTAATGCAATTTGAATTTTCTAATTTCATTCTAATTTCATAATCGTACTAAGTTCACGTATGCAATATTTAAATAAGAATTTATATATATATATATATATATATATATATATATATATATATATATATATATATATTATTTATTATAACGATATTGAAATTATTTGAGAAATAGAAATATATATATATTTATAATTTACATAATTTATACAAATATATATTTTAAGTTTAAAATTCAAAATGTGAACATATTTAATAAAAATAAATGTAAATAATAACTATAAATTTGTACCCTTAATATAACAATTAAATGAAAATTTAATAAATATATATTTATATATATATATATAATATTTATATGTTTGTGTATTTAATATATATATATAACATATTATACGTTATCGTATTGAAAGAAGAAAAATAGTTTGGTAGAATTTCAAAGTTTTTGTTTTGTTTCTTTTAGCATAGGCAGCTTTGTTGTTCAAGGGAAGAAAAATGGACAACTTTTTGGCCAACGCGATTGCCGTATATAGTTGTCTATGTGTGCATTGTAATAGTAACACCATTGGAATTTCTACCATACATACATACAAACATATATATATATATATACAATACACTTTAAAAATAGAACAAGAGGAGTTTTCGACGTACGGAGATCGATTTGATTTTTGTTCGAAGAGTAAAGGAAAACTTTCCCATGTGATTCTTCACCGTCTCGACTATCCAATCGATGGGGTGGAGTGGCCTATTTTTTTCCCCTTTCTTTTCTTTTATTTTCTTTTCTTTTTGACCAAGAGTAATATCGAAAATTCCTGACAGATCGATCACAATTTTAAAATTACTATCTTGTAAATAATTATATTAACGATTTTATTTATTTCTTTTTCTTCTTCCTTTTTTCTCTGGACAATTGTGAGTAATTAAGTGAAAACTAAGATAAAAACAAATAATAATAAAAAAGAGAAATATTTTACGATATTTAATTTCTAATCATCCTAATTTTCTTACAATGAGAATTATTATTAATTATACAAATGTACATGTATCATCTTTTAAAAGCACAAATAAATAGTCAAAATTTTATAATTTTTTTTTTTTTTTGAGAAAGAAAAAAAAACATAAAAAAATATACTCAAGACAATTTTTAAAAAAATACAAAATTAAATGTACACGTCAACAAATCAATCATTACATTAAAAATATGTTTTGTGTTGTCAAATGAATGGAATTGCAAAAAAAAAAATAAAATACAAAGTATACAACAAATTGGATATTTAATTTGACGATAAAATATAAAAAGAAAAAACAAAATAAATGATTAGATAATATAATCAGACAATTAGAAAATTATTAAAGGGCAAAATACTTCGGGTAGCAATGAAATTTTCAATCAACGCTCTAGAAACGTGCAGTATGCAATGTAATTAATTCCCAAACACTGACCGTAATACCGATGCAATCGAGCCGCGAACATGCATTCGCGTTCCTACGTGCCAACAAGATGAATCGCGTTAACGGATTAGAAACAACAACAACAACAACAATACAACTGAACCGATTAAAATGATCCACCTCCGTGAAATTTTCGATTATCGATTTAAATAATAACTTCCATTCGAACAAAGTTTGTCAAAGAAAAGAAATGAAAAGTGCGACCAGTTAATTATCAACATTTCTTGTTTGAACTAAACTATCTTGTTTTTTCTGTTCTCTTTTCTTTTCGTTATTTAATTTTAATTTTAATTTTAAAATTTTACACGTACGACCTATATAGATAATAATTGAATTAAAAAAAAAAAAATAATAATAATTAATTAGCAAATACACAAGTTTTGAAATTATCTATGAAACATTGATTTTGATTACCAAAATTTCTCATTTTAATTGTCTCTGATAAACTATCTTGTTTATTATTTTCTTTTGTTTTCTATTTTTATTTTTCATTTTAATTTTAATATAACACGTACAATCCATAGATAATAATTGGATTTATATAAAAATTAATTATCAAATACACGTGTTTTGAAATTGTCTATGACAAATTAACGTTGTTGTCTTAGGCTCTTTTTCTGTTATCTTCTTATTTTTGTTTTATTTTTTATTATTATTATTATTATTTTTTTTTTGAATTATACTTGTAGAATTATAGATAATCGGTTATTATTCTTCGATCGATAAATCGTACCTTGTGATATGATTAATATTAAATGATACAATTATTCCGTATCGGAATAAAACACCTCGTGATCTTACTCACGAGATTCGAATTCACGTTTTAATCATGTGAGTCCACTTGACTCTGTCAACACTCGTGATAGTAAATAAGAAAGAATGTTCGATGTAATAAATGAAGTACTTCATAGATCAATTGCTTTTCCTTTTTTCTTTTCTTTTTCTTTTCTTTTCTTTTCTTTTCTTTTAAAATATGAATAATTTATTCAACATATTTCCAATTACATTATATTAAATTTGTATAAATTAGATCTACAAAAAAAAATGTACAAAACCCTAACAATATAAAATAATTACAAATACAAAAATTACTATTTAACCTAAATCAATAAAAAAAATATTCAAAATATTGGAAATAATAGAAATTTTATAAAAAAAATAATGAACATTAATCCAAATACCTAACACCAATTATCAAAATAACAAATCATCATTAAAAATCCAATTTTTCTAAAACAAACGAAAATTCTTTGAAAAAAAAAAACAAACAAAAAATAAAAAACCAATTAAAAACCCAATTTTTTCCCCAATCCTAACAAACATAGCCCATACACACATAACAAATACTCTCAAACAATTCTACTGGACACACCTTTAAAGCAAACGCATAACTATCGAGATCGATTGGTCAGATTAGGTTTTGAAAAAGTCCGCTCCCCCCCCTCCCCGAAAAAAAATACAAAAATAAAATGAACTTTTGTTAAAGTTCGTAACCATGACGAGTTTAGACACATGCACACACATACACACATACTACTGTTGGACCCATCGAACGTTTTAGCTAAGCTGCTGTCAGTCAATGAAGCGTCCAGCTGCGCCCATCCTGTACTAGGTTGAATAACGTGGTTGGGTATAGTAAGAATGATTAGCGCACTGTTCACGACGACGACGACGACGACTACGACAACGACACATATCATACAGTTCTATACGTTTAAAGTACTTTTTACGTAGCCCCACCATATTTCTATATCGTTGAGATTACGTATATACGAGTAGCCGGCTCACAAGCACTCACGGTAAGTAAGTAAGTACTTATACGTGTAACATATATATGAATGTATATATATATAGATATATTGTAACGTATGAACAAACCACGGGCAGTGTCCGAGACGGACATTACGCGACGTTTAGTCGATAGTTAACCGCGTTGGAACGATCATTCCTTTTCGAATTTTTATTTTAATTTTTTTTTTGTCAAGAAGTAAACGAATTTACGTTCAAAATACACGGGGGTGTTTTTTAGTTAATGTATTTTTTGTTTAATTTTTCATCATTCTTATTTACATTCTAACACAAATTTCGTTGTTCCGTGTAAAACGTTGTTGTTTTTCTTTTTTCTATCTTTTACGTATATGCACGTGAAAAATAAAATGTGAGAAGAGAATACATAAACATTAAAAAGAATAAAAATCAAGAAATAAATCACGCTAAATAGGTGAACAAAGAGAGTGTGAGAGAGAGAGAGAGAGAGAGAATCCAATAACACTATTTCGAGTGTGGGTAAAGTAATAAATATAAAAGGTGTGTACAAGAGAGTATCCTCTTAAAAGTGTTAGACAAACCGATGGCAAAACCGGGCCAAGGTGTGAAAGACGCGAATCGTAGTAGTAAGACCACGGTGTATCTTTGGAAAACGTTATTATTACAACGATCGTGGTCGAGAGTGTGACACCTTTCGTGATCTTTTTTATTTTTTCCCGAATCGAGTCGTTTTTTTTTTTTCTATACAAATAATTTTTCTCGTGGTATAAATAGTGTATCATCGATCATTTAACGTTGCAATTTAATTTCGTGTGAGTGTAATACGCGTTTAAAATAAAAATAAAAGGAAGAACAAATTATCTTGATTAAAAAATAAAATAATTGAGAACGTTAGAAAGGTTAATAAAAATAAAATTAAAAAAAAAAACAACAATAACAAGAACAAAATGGAAATGGAAAATAGAACAATAACAACGAGATCACCGTGTGAAGAAATATCGAAAAGACGTGTCTCGATATCCGATCAAGTATTTGGCGTAGACAATCCTGCATTTGAACATAATCGTCGTATAAGCTCCAGTTCCGAGCACAATTCGGATCAAGGTAGAAGGAAGTCGATACTTCATCATACAGGGAGTCATTATGACAGCGTAGAGAATCTACCGCAGCACAACAAATTAGATTTAGCTGAGAATGGTAGGGTTAATGGTAACAGGAAAAAATCAGCGTATAGTATGACCAGTTCGATAAGAGATAAGATCGAGTACTCCGAAGAATTAGAGAGGTGAGATTATTATCATAATCTTAAGAAATTCTAATCGAACAATATTATTATTATCATTATTTTTGTTTCTAACGAGATTGTAATGCATTAGACGAATAATTTATCCAAAAAACATCGTTTATTATTATATATGAATTATTATTTTTTTTTTATTTGTAATGTATGTGCGCCTAACTTTAATAATATTCTAAATCTTAACACTTTGTTTCTACCAAGTCGTGGTTAAGCACACACACATACCTGCTTTTTTTAGAATTATTATATTTCTTTCTAATTCAAATCGTTGTTCTGTACTTATTTCTATTTAATTATTAGTTTTTTTTTTTTAATAATTTATTATAAATATTTATTTAAACGAAGTATTATCGATTAATTAATGAAATATTAAAATGGGAATCTTTAAAATTTCTTTCTACCAAATCGTGGTTCTCTACCTTATTTTTAAAATTATCTTCTATTTCTTTCTAATTCAGATCGTTGTTTTATATTTAACATAATTATATATCATTAGTATTTTGATTTTATTAATAATAAACTCATTTACCAAACTTCAATCCTATTCTAAATCTAAACAATTTATTTTTACCAGATCGTGGTTGTACCTTTTCTGCGCTCGTTGTCATGGAAACGACGATACACCCTCATGGGAACCACCAGGATGGAGAAAAGCTTGCCCCCAACCATTCTGTCCAAGTTATCGAAAATTTGCAAGAATACTATGCCTTTTCTTGCTCGGTCTTTTGATTTGGGGTATAGTTTATTCGATAGTGGGAAATGACGCAGCACCAGGTGGCCCTTTGTTTGGTCTTGCCGCTTTATGCATAGCCGCCCATTTTGGTGGTTGGCTATTTTCCTTGACGACTCTTCCAGCTTTGATCGGTATGCTGATTACCGGATTGATACTACAGAACGCTGACCTAATCAGTATCGATGGCCGTTACTCAATCGTTGTTTCCAACTTAAGGTGAGTTTATTTATTCTATACTTATACAATTTTTATTTACTTCATTAGAATTTCATTTTATTTTCTTTACGAACTGCGAACTAATTTATTTGATCTTTTGATTCTATCTTTCACACCCAATTTGATAAAACTCGAATTATAATTTTCCAACAATTTACAATTCGTAGTAAAGTTTTTTTTTTTTATACTGAATTTTGTTAAAACCCAACAAATTCATCCTGTCTCATAAATTTATACAAAATTTACATTTTATACGAATTACCAATCAAATTGGAAAGCTTCTACTTCTTTTTCTTATCGAATAATTCGAACTGTTTGATTGCGACGTTAAAGAAAACAAAAAATAAAAATATATAAGAAAAGAAACGGGTCGGAATCCCAATTGTAATTTCAACTCACGCGTTTAAACGTTGCCGAGGCCTTGTCATGAACAATCCTAAGGTGCCCCCTTTTTTTTTTTTCTTTTCACTTGGAGGTCCAACTACGACGTCAAAGTCGAGACGTTGATTCCTTTTGGTGGCTCACCAAGAATATCAATTGCTATTCTTTCCTAGTCAATCGGAATATATATATATATATTAAATTTATTTTATATGCACTGAGTGACGTTAGGTTTACGATAGGTAAATGATACTGCTGGTTGGTTCTTTTGATTTTTCTTTACCTTTTCTTTTCACCTAATCAAGTTTCGTAATTTTGGATAAATATTTCATAGTATTTCTCAAATAAATTTTGATTATGTATATTTAAATATTTAAAATACCGTATATATTAGACGATTATTTTATTCTTTTATCTACTCCTTAGTATTATATAATTAATTATATAATAATATTTTTTATACATTTACTATAATCATACTTTTATTTCAAGGACTATCACGTATAAGAACAATATCTTTGATTTATTGATTGTTTCAATGAAATAGAATATAATTAATGCAATTTTTATTTTTATTCTTTATACCGGTATCTAATTAATAGACGTAATCATTCCTGGAAATAAATAAAATACGCGTGTGATATATAATTTTTATTACATATACGAATAAACAATGAACTATGGTGAACAACCAATTAATTGCATTCCTTTCAATGTCCAATTCTTTTTTTTTTTTATTTCTGTACAATACTCGAGATCCTTATACCAAACACATGCTACTACTATGCATGCATGAATCAATATCACTTTGTTTCTACATTATCGATACTTTATATATAGTTTGCTGTGTGATATAACAAAGTTGCAATATGTATTGTTTTCGTGTATTCATGCTAGTTGAATCTGATGCTGAATTTATGTGCAACGTGTACCATGAAACTTAGAAATCGATGAATGCATTCAAACATTTTTTAACACGTTATTGCAGTTTATTAGAAAATATTTACAAAACTGTTTTTTTATTTTAATATCATTTGAAAATTGAAGAAATTTCTCAATACGAAAAATGAGATTAAAATTTTTAAACAAATGTTTATTTAATGTTGCATTTGAGAAAACAGCTCGTGGTCTCAAATATTTTTATTTATTTTTTCAGTTTCAAAATATTCGCATTTTTAATCTGCAAACGTGTATATTTTTATTAATTAAAATAATTACGATATAATACAGTACTGTTAACGTTATAAAACTTATTCTGTTTTTAGTTTGATGCTAATTCGAATGAACATAAGACAGGATGATTTTTTGTGTAGAGAATTTCTTTGTTTAATTGTCAAAAAATTATAAAATAATATAATATTATTACATTTTTCGAAACTAAATTCTATTTTATTTCGTAACCAACTCTTTAGCAGCTCGTTTTATCACAAAATTGCATCAGACAGCACATTTTTTTTCGTCACTCCTCTTAATTAAAAACAGTAATAAAATATAATTTTAATAAAATGTTAGAAAACTAAATTATCTGCTTATATTTATACTAATCCTTTATTTCAACCCAAAACTCACACATTCGCATAAGACAACATTATTTCGCTACGTTTTCTAATTATAACACAGTCTAATTAAATAATACTATTTCGTTAAATTTTTCAAACCTAATCTGAAATTTGTGTCTGTGTGTCTCAACCCCCTTTAATATAATAATTTTCTCACAAATTCTCGTGAAACAGAGAGTATCGTAGTATATATTCATACATTATAATCCAAATTACAAAACAATATAATTTCGTGAAATAATTTCAACCTAAATTCCCTTATTCCTTTTTTATTCATTATACCAACCCTTAATATAAGTTTCCCATAAATTCTCATGAAACAGAATATCGTAATATACTCATACATTAAACCAAATGATTAAAACAATACATAATTTGCATGAAATTATCTCAAACCAAAATTTCCTTATTTTTATTTTTGTTTCTATTCATTATATCCAACGCTTGATCTAACTTTACTTGAAATTCCTGTAAGACAGAATATTACATGAACCTCTAACGAGGCGTGTAATATACGTAAGCTTACCTGTATACATTAATAGAAATTTATCGGAATAGAGAAAGGGAGACTCTCACTCGATAATATCGTCATCGTCGTAGTCGTAGTCGTAGTTGTAGTAGTATCGTGTGTTTAGGAAACGACGAGATTATTTCGCTAGGTTCGCGAGGTCCCTCCGCCAAATGTGAACTCGTATTAGCCTTCGCGTAATAGTACCGCGTCGTAATGCGCCAGCATTAAAGCTAGTCTAATAACGCACGATGATACTAGGAGAGAGTAGGCATCAGCCAACAGCCAGCTTGATACTACAAACACACTGAAAAACGTACAGACATAGTCACAGACACGGCAGATACATTCAAACATAGAGGTACATAGACACAGTCAGAGATACAGCAGACACATTCAAACGTACAGGTATACATGCACAGTTAGAGACACAGCACATTCACACAAAGATACACAGAGACACATAAAGGTGCACAGACACAATCAGAGACATAGCAGATACATACAAACACAGACACACAAAAATTCAGACACAATCTGATATACAGCAGATACATACAAACACATAGAATACAGATACACAATTCTACACAGATACAATCAGAATTACTCGAACACATATGATGAAGATACCATAGACAAAGATACAGACACATATTCAGTTTCAGCCTCCTCTTTCTCTCTTTCTCTCAACATTGTACACTCGACTGGTTAGAACCTTATACTCGAGTGTGCACGGCTACATCAAACTGCATAATTACGATGGAACTCCGGTTGCCGTTCAAAACGGCTTGCGTTCTGACCGCACCGCAGCATTTCGCATCGCGTTAATACGCTTCTCTGTTCTATTCTTCTCTCTTTCTGTTTTATACGAGATTAGATAACGAGTACCATCCCTGCTACTTCTCCTGTAATCTCTTTCGATGAAAAGATAGATTCATCGAACAACGCTTAGTTACGTTAAGTAAGATAAAGATTATGCGATTATCTTTTGACACTTAATGAGAGAAAATATTTTATGACATCGGTGTGTTATGTGTATTCAGGTTCAAGTGTTAAGATTAATGTAATACGAATCAAGAAGAATAGTTGTCTATGTTAAAATTTATATTCCTGAGAGATGATTTTTTTTTTTAAGATAATTTTATTCGATTGAAGTTATATTTGCCAGATTTTTCGGATAAATGAATTATATTATAATTAATATCAAATATAATGAGACTATTATACTAATCTGATAATAATAATAATATTAATAATAGATACGATAGTGTTCATAGTAATAATAGTAGTAGTATTTAGAAGGGAAGAAGGGGGTAGGGGGTGAGGATGATACGGAATTGAACGTAACAATCGGATAAGACGATGATAGGCAAATGCTGATATCTATGACACGACTTGCATTGGATTTCGATGAATTAACACATAGTATATATGCATATCTATATATGTATGCATAGAGAAACACGAGTTATCATGCAAATAAAAACGAATGATAGGATTGAATGAAAATAACAACGAGCCGTGAAAAAAAAAAAGAAAGTGAAAAAAAAACAAATATTCGTATTGAAAGAAGAAATGCAACAACGTTTCGACGTACCACAGTCAAATTCGAATTGGAAAAAAACCACCTTCCCATATATGAAATATAAACTTGGAATCGATTGCATCGATTTTTATGACGCATATACAAAATTTATATCGTTCACGCTGGCTAGTGTCTTGTGTTTTATAAAAAGCACTCTCTATCGATAAAACAAAAACAAAAAAAAGAAAAAAAAATTAGAAAGAAAGAAAAACTGGGGAATAAAGTTTATTCCCGACTATGCGTACAAACGTCAGGACACAACAGTTTCGTGTGTATGTGTGTGTGTATTTTTTTCCTTTGGGGAAAGGAGGGCGTGTGTTACGAGGGGTGATGGGGGGATTTTTGATATATTTTCTAGAACAGCGTATTAATACCGGAAAATTATTTATTTCTTTCTCCAAATAACTATTCCAATATATTTTTTTTTTGTACAAAATATGAAGTATTTTATTTTTTTATATTATTTTATTTAGTTCATTCAAAAATCTGAACTTTTTAAATCGATGTAGAACGAATACGATAATGTTAATGCTTCGATAACGATTAGGTACGTTTTCAAATAAAATTGGTATTACAATAAAAAAAAAGAAATAACTAGGTGACTTAAAAGTTGAGAAGTAACATTTGCATAATATGTCGATAATTTCATACGTAGTATGCTCAAATACGCATCCAATTTAAAACTTTCTTCAACTAATACATAAGCCACCACTATCACCACCATTACCAGCCAACTGAAATTTCTTTAACGCGACTCGTCTTGCCTACTAATATTCACGATAGTATTCGATACGCATACGGAATTTATAATGCATAACCAACGACACATGATTCCTTTACAAAGGTGCTGTATTCACGTTGAAGTAATTATGATAATAATATCTATCCTTAATACAAAAATACATAGTTTATTTATGTTTTTCTAATTTGAATAATTATTCAATAATATAAAAAATTACGTACT